CCATTACAAAACTTCTTATAGGATGTCCTATAGGACTTTAATTAGGAATCCTACAAAACTCTATTACAGGAACAGATCAAGAAATATTTTCTGACAGTATTCCAAATTATCTTTGCTGATCCATCCTCCATTTTTGATGGTCTTCAAACAGAAAAAATACATACCCATCAATGTGAACTTTAAAATCCGGAAGATCCAGAAGACTGCCTCAATCCGCCCCTGACATTGTACAAACACCTTGAATTCTGATAACACTAGAACAACTGATTACAGATAACAAATATAGGTTTCATAATGTTACATACCTTCTGTGATCCCATGATAGCATGACAGGCAATTAAAACTGCCAACATCCCCTGTAAGTTGTCTTCCGGTACTTCTATTCCTGGACTGTCCACCAGATGGAGCTGCCAGTACTTCCCATCCTCCTCTTTAGGCAGTTTGTAGTCTGCTCGCACCTTCAACATCTCACCAGCATCTCCTAGAAAAGACATTTTTTTTTGGAATTTAAGAAAAAAGTGGGAAGAAATGGCTAGATGGCCTTATGAAAAGGGATCTTTGAGCAACTTAAGTCAGGAAACTGCCAAGAAAAGAGTTTAGATTTAGAAGACTTTTGTGTAAAAGAAAAAGTGTGTCTGTTTAAACATATGTTGATTGATTCCATTCTTTATATAAGGTCTCTACTAAATCAGTCTAGGGGAGTCTCACTAGATTACTGTCAGCTTAGCCGGATTAAGCGTCTGTCCCGCCTACTAAAAGCTGTAAGGGGGTAATTAACTATGGTGCGCGTTCGGCTGACTGCAATTGAGCGTGAACCCCCAGGGAGTTAGGTCGATCTAAATCTTAATCTCTGGATCGATCTAAATCTCTGGGAATGCACCCTAAGTCCAACCAACCAACTCAAAAAGTTGGTACATGTCAGCCATCCAGCTGTGTTTGAAAATATAGGCTACTGGTTGTCCAAATAATGGCTGGATGGCCCTCTGGAGAAAGCCTTGTTCTCAACCTAAATCAAAACAACTGCTTGACAATCAATGAGAAAGTCTAATTTGTGCCAGAAATGTCTTGGTTGTTTTACATACCTCTAGAATAGCACAACTGGTGTAATTTTCTCTCTGTTCCCTTGGTCAAAGCTTCTTGTCGTACATGGGGTAACATCTTAACAAGGTGTTGGTTGACCAAATTAGGAATTATTACCCCAACTACACCTGTAAATAATCCATCATTGCTATAACTTATAGACTATCATATAACATTTATTAAATATATGCATGTCTGCAGAGTGTTTTATCTGTATTGCTAAAGCGAGAATTTTCGAGTCAAAATGAGGTTGATCTATTATTTTTTATTAATTAGATTTGTCATATAAAATAATTCTAACAGGGAACCTTTCTATATTAAATTGAGTATGTTCAAGCTGAAGGCATGCCCTCAATCCAATGCATTGTGCTGCTATGGATATATATGCACAAGAATATAGAATTATACAGTCATCCAAATATATAATATTAACCATATTGTATTAATTAAAATTTCAATTAAAAAAGAAAGACTACTATGTGCTTAATTGAAACTTATTAGGGATTTTAAAAAATGTGAAAAAGAAACTAACCAGAGTAGTTAAAATCACTCTCTGCAAAAATCTTTTCCTCAACCAGGGGAAGGTTCTGGGCCACAGTACAAGCAGTTTCTGGAAATAAAAACATCCCAAGGTATATATTATAACTTTACCCAAAGAATACTGTCAACAACATTGTTCAAAGAATAAATCTGACTATAAATATTGTACACTTAAAACTACTACTACTCAAAACAGAATTACCTGAAGCAAAACCCCATATAATATGGAAATACGCACAGAATTTTAGCAGTCTTGTCCAATAGTTACATTAATATCAAATAAGAAATCAAATTATTAGTTGGTGACTGGCAAATTTTCGTCCATAAACTTTTACATCAGTGGGTTGCAGGTAAAACCAAAAATCCTTAAAAGCTGCAGTTCTTATCACTTACTTGCAGTTCCCTGAAGGAAGTTTCTACACCATTTCTCAAGGCGGCCGTCTGTTTTTGATGAGTAGTAAGGCTTCATGTTGGTGCGCTGAGTCTACAAATATACAAAAAAAAAGTTTTTGTCTTTAAATATTGATGGGGTCACAGTGGTGCAGATACAACAGCAGTACTGGGTTTCAGTCGACTGGCATGTCTCCTGGGACCATGGAGACATGTTTTTTTGTTTTTTTTTGTACTTGCAGTCCTTTAATACAGGTAACCAGAGTTGAACCATTTCTGCATGCATGACCTTTACCTTTGTTCTTGTCTGGGGATAAACATATAAACTATAGGTGCAAAATACAAGTTTAGACCTTCAAATGTATAAATTTATACCTTACCTCTGAAAACAACCATATTGGTGCTCTTCTGCTGTTCAAATCTTCCTCAGAAAGGTCAGCAGATATCAACTCTAAAATAAATAACACATTTGAAAAAATGACATCAACTGTGATATTTGCACAATTTTTGCCTTCTCTTATATATATATATATATACCACAACTTACAATGAAGGCTGTAAACATTACATTTTTTGTCACTTGGCATCTATTTCATACATAACATCTCTGGACATTAAAGCAACAAAATGATTAATAAACACATGCCACTTACCCATCTTCTTCAGAGAGGTTCCACAAAATTCACAAGATGAAGCTTTTTCCTCATTCTTCTCTTTACATTGTGGACAATCTTCATGCAGGGCTGGAAAATAAATGGTAAATTTTGTAAATATCTTTTCCAGCTTTCAGTATAAATCAAAATGTTTAAGAGAAGATCATAACTGTTATTGAAAATACTGTAACAAGAGTGTTTGCAAGATGTACCCATCCAGTAAATATTTACAATGATTTTAGAATGACACACTTATGCTTTCTAAAGCATTCATTTTTGATTGGAATTATTTAAAAAAATAATTCTCACCTTCAGTCCAATAGTCATTTGGTTCTTTATTGTAGTATGAATAGTACAAAGGGAATAGTCTGTCACTGTAGGGGCTGATGTTAAAGCTCTCAATGCCCTCAGGTTTCATCACTGAAAATGTTTTTTTTTTCCCAAAATATTAGTATCAATCTTAAATTATGCTTATTGTAAACAAAATTTAATAAAAATTGCAAAACTTTCCTGTAAATTCTAAATGCCTCTAGGAAGATTTGATCTCAAGTTTTCAAAAATTAATTTCTGATGGCTCTTCTGTATATTACATTTATGAATTAAGTTCCCTCTTCTAACTCCCCACCCCCCCCCACCCACCCAAGGTTTCACTTTCTTTATCATATGACATTAGAATATTTATAAATGGAGGCGTAGTTTTTACCTGCAGTGTATAACTGGTTGTCATGTGTGGAGGACACCAGCTCCGCCAAGTGGTGGACTCCTGTAGCTGGGTCCTTGATCTCTACCAACATCTCTTCCTTTATCCTCCGAGACGGCGTCAGCTCGGCTTCCTGTTAAATCATCATTCAGACTCATTCATTAATTGCTTTTCCTTACATGAAAATTTTAATCTTATATTCTATGTAATTACTTACAATGTGAAATTTATCACCAACTTTGGAAAAGTAAAATTTCCCAGCCATTTAGCTTAAAGAACCCCCATTACCAGGATGCCATTGTCAATTCCACTATAAACCACAGATTCTGAAACAAGCTGACAGATAATAGGAATGAGCGTCACTGCAGTGACCTCTGAAAGCAAACACGCATTAGTTAGAGCCATTAATACCTTAATTCCAGGTGCATTGACGAAAACCTCAATGCCTTTCCCATGGAAACCTATGGTACCGCACAGGCGCTGAAGGTGAGTCTTCTTTGTGTAGATCACCTCCCCTGCTTTTGAAATTTCTATCTTCACCTTTTCTGTATCCTACAAAACAAGAAGATTTAAATATCAGATTTAAGTATCAGCACAATTCAAAGATGAATATCAGTAGAATATTGAAAAGAAATTATGTTATCATATATGAAAGGAATGCTGGACAGCAAGAATAAGTAGGAATTTGTCTTTCTGAGAAATTAGAAAACTTAAATTCCCAGGGCATATGAATTCAATTGAATGTACACAGGTCAACTTTAAGGATGTATTTATTTAGTAGCCTGTACTCACCATGGCCTTACACTGGTCATCCCTGTCGAACCTCATCTGGACCCTGACGGTGCATGCCTCTGATACTATCCACTTGCCATCCTTGTGCTCTTTCACTCCTGTCTCCTCGTGGTCTGCTATCACACCAGTTTGCAGGTGATATTCCAGTAAAGGTTTTCCAAAAACTCTGTAACAATTTTGAAGTTTGGAAGTACGTATTAAGTGATTAAGTGGAGTTATGAGCCATATTAATGGTGACATTGTTCTACATTGTACATTTACCTTGCAAGAATACTAAACTGGATCCATGCTTTCTGTATCTGTCAGAACATAATTCATTATATTATTCTGCTATTAATATTTCAAAATTTCAAACAGACTGAAACTTGGGTGAACAATGAAATGTGATATACAAAATATTACAAGGCCTCTAGCATCATAAGAGCTATGGGTATAATGGCAAGTCCTGTGGAAATATGTCATGCTTCTAACCATTTGCACCAGATTGATATTAAGAATATTTGAATATCTTAAAATAGTCGAAAAGCTAGGATGGCAACAAACACCCAACCCAAGGCAAATAAAGAGAAGCCAAGAGAGTCTCTACACTTCATTATAAAGTATATGAAGTTTTACTGGAAATAGTCTAAAAACATGATGACCGTTTTTCCAAATAATCCAAATGTTGAATGTGATTTTATATAGACATCACTTCCACAAATTCTACCCATACAAAGTTTTCATCTGGCATGAATGTTACATATTAACTTAATTACTACTGGATCTACCGGTACTAGACTAAATTCAAATACTATAAAATTCAAATATATACTGGCTACTCCTGCATACATTAACTTGGTTACTCACTTTGACAGACCCACTGTCACCTTATTCCTTTCCATCTCTACTGGAAGCAGAGTAACCTCAAAAAAGTTGAAATGAACTGGATCCATAGCTGCCCACTTGGTGCCACTTTGAACGTTAAGCCTTCGATTGCTGATGAAGTTGCCACGACTAAGATTTTCTACAGAAATCACGGAGGACTCATTTATGTCTTCGATCATAGTGAATGGCCGGGAGGAACCAAGGCCAGGCTGTAGGGCAGTTTGAACTTTCTATTTTGAAAAAAAAAATTGTGAATTATAAATTAAATTGAAGATGAATAACATTACATTAGAAAATATTCTCATGAGAAAATTATAACAAGTTGAATTATCTGAAAGGTATTGTCAATATGCAAATAAACCACTAAATGTAACTTTGAAGAAAAATAAAATACATTAGGATTATATATTCTCATGAGAAAATAGTATATAAGATGAATTATCTGAAAAGCATTATCAATACTCAAATAAAAACCCTAAATGTAACTTTGTAGCCAGGTTTAAGCTTATAACATATTAATGCTTAAGTCATGGCATCAACTGAAAGCTCACATTAACTGCAGATTTTGTAAATCTTGACCAATTATACCTACATTTAAATACTTTGTGCACCTTGTACATACTCCACATTTGCTGCACATTTGTGTATTACGCTGGCACCCACAATGACTGAAAAACATTGACAGACACTTTATTTCACATTTTACTAAATACTTGCTCCATAATATTCAGGGTACATCAGTATTTTTCTATGAAAAACACTAGCAGACATTTTATACAACATCTTTAATAAAAAAAATTGTTACAAAGTTTCCAGTGGCTTTCTACTAAGATGAAGATAGATATTTCATTAATACATACTAAATTGTTTCTCCATGTGTTCCATTCTGTGGGCAGTCAATCCCCTCATAGGCACAGTTTCCACACAGAAAGCACCTGCTGTAGTCCACATGGGGGCTGGCGTCAAACTTCACCTGGTCCAGGGTATGTGTGGGGGCAATCCCCCCAGGCTTCACAAAACTGAAATCATCTGGAAAACACATTTATCTCTCAAAATTAAGTTTTAAATAACAAAGTACATCAAATTAAATCTTTTTAAACAGAAAGGTAAACAGGAATGTGATGGGTAGGCAGCAAAGAAAAAAAGCCAAGGAAAAAAATCGCTATAACATCCTTTTAACTCCACCAAAACCCAAGAATGATCCAATCTAAATAAATAAATAAATAAATAAATAAATAAATAAATAAATCTGTGCACCACTCACTTGGCCCCAGTATTTCCTCCACCTTGACGTCCTTCTTGCACTGTGCACACTTCAGCCTGGACACGACATTAGTGGCGTCCCTGTTGGACAGCATGTTGTGCTGGTAGAACTTCGTCCTGCTGTGACACGTCTCACTGTGTGGGCAGGGAGTGAGAAACTGCATAAAAAAATAGTTTCAAAATGTTAAACATTTCAAACACAAGTCCCTATTTCACTATTTCACCACTCTAAGGTTTATCAGAGTTACTCATAAAGACATACTACACTAAACGAAGCTGTTTTCAAAAAGTGCGAATCATCTTCAGGCATGGCCAACAAAACATTATTTGTGGAAATGAGCCACAGTTCTCAAATTTCTTGTCAGCCTTAAAAATAACTATTTTGTGAGAGCAAAATAATGTCATGGAACCATTTTCTGAAATTTTATTCAGCAGAGCCTATAGTGCATAAAAGCTATTTAAAATATACATGATATTTCTTACCATTAATATTTTCTTTGGTAAGTACTATGTATAACTACTTTTGCCATGTCATCCCCTATGATTTCTTTATGATTACGATTACTTTCACTATAACTTATCTTTTTATGATTATTAAAATAATCTTACAAGACAACCAAATGAGCTCTGCAATGACAGGTTAACAGGGGAACCTTGTTGTATATTAAAAGACTTAATCCATGGTAACTTAAGGTGGTCATGTAGTGACAGAAGCTAATACAGAACAATAAGAACTCACAAATTTCAGAACAATAAGAACTCACAAATTTCAGAACAATAAGAACTCACAAATTTCAAAATCCTTACTAATTCAAAATTCAAATTTCAACAGTTACCATTCTCATGTACACATTTTCAATCACTCTCACAAAAATAAAATTCTGCCATATTCCCTATTTGTTTCTGACAGCTTTTGAAAAAAATAAATAAATAAACAAAATATATATAAGGTCAAACTTATATAAAAATAGTGTTTGAAAAAACAACCCTACCTGACAATACACCTTGAACTTCTGGCACACGTACTTCATTATGGTGACATAGGTGAGGAGTGTAGACCACAGGCAGGACATCAGAGCATGCTGGTTCCTCACCTCTTCCTCTGCAAACATTTTAGTGGCACGCACCGCAATGTAGATGATGTTAGTATGCTCTGGTAGGGCCTTTGCCTTCAATTCAGCTTCTAAAAGGAAATTATTATCTAAAAATCAATATATGTTCATTTTAATAAATGGTTTTAGGCCACATTCCTAACAGTGGACTAACTAGACTGAGGATCAAATATGGCTACCCTAACAGACACTGAATAGATTTCCAAGTGGGTCAGCCATATCTGACCTGCGGATTAGTTAGTCAATTGTAAATGTGGCATTAAAGGCTATAGGAGTTCCTTATTATGATGATTTTTTTCCATTGCTTTTAATGCACAAAATATGCAATATTCCATTTTTTATAAGACCCTTTTATAAATAAAGTATTAAATACACTCTGGTATATTATGTTATAAATAAAACATTCCCCTTTCACTGTCATTTAAACAACTGCAACATTTTAATCAAAAAGAC